CCCCTTAAGGGTAAAATATTTCTTTCTCTATAACAAATATGATTGGTGCTATATCGATCCTATTTTATGATACATTCAAGTGCAATAGCATTGGATCCGGAACTTTTTTCTGTGGGTGCGCGCGCACGCACACTTGGACCGTGTGCTTCGGTCATGAATGAGTTCAAACAGAAATAAGTGCACGTTTGCGTTATCTTAGATTGCATACTGCTCGACGAATGATTGCTATCTCGTTTTTATCGCTATTTCTTGTAAAAAAATATATACGCGAAAGAAGAAACGCGAGGACTTTTGCCTCTTATCTGGTATCTGTCCCGAATTTACGTATTTGGAGCTCCCGAAATGTTCTCGCAACAACTTGAAAGTTTAAATTTGAATTGGGTCACTGTATTTGCGTTTCTTATCGTATTGTTGTCGCGAACTGGGGAAAGTTGCAAAACTCAACACATTGAATTACATCTATTTCGAATTTCTCTCCAAACTTTTAAGAGCCGCCACACTCGCCAGTACGGCCGCGGAAGGGAGGGCGAGGGGGAGGGGGAGGAGGAGGAGGCGGGGGTGGAAAGCGAAAAGGTACTAAATAATCGGCTGGTGAACATCCCCGGGTTAAAAATTCGGAGGATTCCCGCATAGCTGCATCGCGGACCTGTTTTTAAATATCCCGCACATCCGCATGACACGCCGCAGTGGCCTTGACAAAGTGTCGCGCGCGTAAATTTGTAGAGGGGCGCGAGGAATTCCCTTTCGTGAGTATCTTCTAAACGGCTTTCGAGAGATCGCGCCTTTCACGGTGTCACGTTACACCTCGTCACTCTTTTTCCGGGTCCCGAAGTACCCGGGCGGGATGAAGAACGTCGCCTCGTAAAAGCCCCGTACATTTAAGCCCCCGTCTGTTTATTCTCGCCCAGCACGCTCCCATTCGAGTAATTTCCCGTGCTTTTTGTCCCTTTTACCCTCCTTCCCAGCGGATCCCAGACAGATCTCACGGAGATATTTCATTCGTTCTTAGATTTTCGTAGAGAAGAAAAGAAAATATCCCCCCCTTCTCGACATCTCTGGTAACCATTATCGTCATTATTGGCAGTTGAACGTATTGTAAAACGATTTAACGAGGGTTGTTAGCGAAGAAAGCCTTTGTGACACGTTCCCATTTGTGATAAAAAGGGCGCCCTGTAATTGGCAGCGCGGATGGAAGTACAATGATTCTGTGTGGAAAAAATATTTCGTAGATGTAACATTGATATTTTTTGCATGGCGCTAGCACGCTCTTAGTTGCAAAAGACGCGTGGTGCACATGTGAGATTAAATGAATTGCGCACATTTGGAAGCACATCTAATTCCTTTTTCTGAAAAATGTCTCTGTACAAGAGTCGCGAGAAAATGCGACATTTCTGTAATATGTGTGACCCGCTTTGTCATAACGTCTATGTGTAATTACATCTTAACGTGCCCAGGGGAATGGAAACGGGAACACACAAACGAGTAATTCGATTTGGATACCAATAATTTCAGTGGCCTGGTCTCGCGCTGACATAATGTCACGTATCTTGTCGATAATCTGTCTGACGAAAGATTGAATTCCAGAATTTGGTTACATGAATATTTTATACAAATAATCAACTCTCCTACAGCAAGCTTTGATCTCCATTCTCACATTTCTCATATTTTTTTTCCGCGAAAAATAATGTGATTTATTTTCCCATAATTTGATTTATTTTCACATACTCCGTTTGAAATACTTTTAAAATATTCAATTAATGAAATTTCACTCCTATTTATGTTATATTAGCTATATTTATTAGTCTTTCATTGATATAACCGATACTGATAGTAGAGGAAGGTTCTCTATTATGAGATGGGTTTTTAATATGAGACAGCAGGTTTTTAACACCCAAATTCAATCTTTTTCGCAACGATTATACAATCTAACAATGACTTTTTTACCAAAGATTTCGCTCCAAAGGCAATAAATTCATGGTGGAATCACCTGATGACGCCTATTAATTTAACAGAAATCCCGCTGTCCCATATTAGAATCCTATCTCATAGCTTTCCTCCACTTGTAACTTTATTTATCATTCGTTGACATATGTAAAAGTTGGTGCACGGTGAAGTAAAACTTCAGACTGCTGCACACCTTTGAATTTATTATAGTTTTTGCATAGCATTGCGGATCCACTAGGCAGCAAAATTTAATTTTGACATTAAAACTCGCTGCATCGCGACGAAGTCCCGCGAACATCGCGGCTACAAGCAGCGCGAGGTTAAAAGATTTTTTGTCCCTTTTTCCGTCTGGTTTACATTGGTCGAAAGTAGAGCTTGCTTTTCATGTTGTTCGTTAAAGTAATAACGACGTTTTGCACTTTCTTCTTATTTTATCGGATTAAAGTTTCACTGTCCATCTCTATCTGTGCGCCAGCGCAGTGGTACTGTGAAAACCCGTAAAATCAATCGAGTAAAATACAAGGTACACCTTCGATAAATTTTGCGTCGCTCCGTTTCTCTTTGAAGTTCTCATTAACGACATTTCCGAGACTCCAAGCCGTAAAATCGAACTCGCGCGCGAAAACGCGATTTCTGCACTTCCCTCTACAGCAGGAAATAAATAGGCAAGAGGAGAGGCGGAAAGGAAGAGAATATGAGAATGAAAACGAATGGACGGAATTTATCATACTCTTTGAGCTTTAATCCCTTAAGGCGTACAGAGGAGAGCTTGTTTGAAAAATAAAAACCGCGACAGATTATAAATGAGAAGTGTGGATAATCTGTCACGTGCAGTTTCCAGAAGACGCACGAAATAAGTACAAGAAAGTAAAAGAAAATAAGAAAGAGAAGAAGCGTAAAAAGTAATGCAAAAGGAACCAAGCGGAAAGAGTAAGCGAAATAAGTAAATGTAGCGAAGAAATTTCGTAATGCATGCCGCTGCGTATTTCTGGGTAAACGCGATACGTAAATCAGCGAACGTTGACGATGCAAAAACCAACTGGCCAGTCGTTTCCGCTGTAATTAACAACGTTTTCTTATCATTTGCGTCGACAATTCCCTTGCGTGTGGCTATAGACCTCGACTAACCCACACACGCAAATACAGCATTCGACTCAACTCGTTAACCCGCGCAAACGCATGTTTCCTTGGAATTCGCGGACGTATTACCCACGCACGGTTTATGTAATTTCTTGCTCATTTCCAAAGCTACGTTGCTCTCTTTCAACGCGCAATTACAAAAACGTTAGTCTCCATTTATTTAGTTTTTCAAAGAATATGAACATTTTTTCGTAAAACCGCTAGTACTTTCTCAACAGTTTCTTTACGAATATTTCTTACGTTATATTACGAATTTTTATATTAATAATGATTTATATTAATAATTCATCTATTACGAATAGTTCCTTATATTTAGATGTCATTGAATAGCGGAAATATATTTGAAAATTGATAAAATCCACGAGGCTCTAATGTGAAAACACAAATACGAAGTAATAAGGGAGTAAGAGCCAAGGGTGTTGGTGTCTAAATAATTTCAATTTTAGGCCTATCGCGACAAAACCCTGGCTGAGGTATTATTTTTCCCAATGGACTTACAATTATAATTATTCAGACACTAACATCCTGTCCTGGCTCGTACTGCCTTGTACTTCGTATTTGAAACTGTTAGATATTTATTGCTTCCAGTAACTGGAGATTGCGCGAGGTGTGTTATCTTATGTTACATTCAGCGAACAGTATTGCTCGTGCAGACATACGCGAGTAGTCGATATTGTAAAATTATTTATCGCACAAGTATGCGATAGCGTGCAACAGGTGCAACGGCATACGGGGAGGTCGATCACCAACATAGGCTGCTACTCCGCAGTTCCGTACCTGTTTCTGATCATCGATTAAGTGGCAGATTTCGAAACTCGATCCGGAGTAATTCCATTATCAACTTACGTTGGCGAACCGGAGTGCGGTTTTGAGCACCGACGTTCACCGGCGCGGCGTCGAGTCCATTGATCAAGAAATTTTCCAGCAATCTTGACATATCCGTGATGTCGACCTCACTTCCCAAAGTCAACGGAGCTGAAATTCTAATTTCAGATTCATGACGCCTATATTTCAGTCTCTTGCCCCGATTCGCACATCGAATGTAAAATAATCCCCGTTCAACTATTCAAATGATAATTCGAGTTTCCTTCACTATCGCAATTACGCGGGACAGAAAATAAAAACGTATTTGAACTATTAAATAATATGTAAATAGGGAACTAATACGAATACTGAAAAATCACAATGAAATTACGACTAACGATGGAAGGTAGGAGCTTCTCAAAATAGGTAGAATTTAATAAATAATACTTGAAGATGCAACAACTCTATCAGAGATTCTCGTCTGCACGAGTGAAACCCATTGACAAAATTGCCGATCGCAGCTCAGACAGTTCGGCGCATCGCGTGATCTGCTGCGAACGCATTTCTTGCACGTAGATTCAAGTATTTCCCCGTTCCAAGTGAAGTGACAGATTTTGAAACCTGCCCGAATAATTCTATTACCAACTTGTCGATGAACCGCAAAGCTTAAGCTCGGTGTTCCATTCCGCTCCGCGGTGCGTGTAATTTATCGGCCAAATAACTCCCCTTTAATAAATCTCTCGAGCCAGTGGTCCGACGACGTATGGTACGTGTAAAGAATTAAACGTGAAAAATTGGATTTTCTGTAGGATAAAAGTTTGCGCGCTAGGAACGTCTCTGCGCGATAAGCTGCGTTTGAACTACTGCGTTCAGAAATTTTCAGCTTTATCGAACCGCGACATTTGGCGTGTTATCTCACGCTTTGCAATTCAAGATCTTGTAATCTTACGTTTTGCAATTCAACTTTCATCTATGCGCCTCGTCGAATTACAAAAGCGACTTGGGAGAAACGTGTGCAATACGCTCTCGGAATATTAGTCGGATATGCGCCCCTTCCCGTTTATCTCGAATGCGATACATTCATGCGATACACGTTTCTCATTCGGCGGCGGTGAAGTCGCTAAACGAACGACGTGAAGGGCTTCCGTGGAGCCTCCACGACAATTTAGAATCGAGGAATCGCCGTGACGGAAACGGCAAGTTTAGACGGCAAACTGTCAGGAATTTGCACACATTGTTGCGCGAGCTCGCGCGCGCCGTGTACGAGTTAACGTAAACCATAAATGATTTACAAGGAAACATAGAGAACCGTCCGCGTGGCGTTTAGCTCGAAAAATAACTCCAGCAATTTTTGCGATCTCGATGGATTTCGCGATGAACATTTAATTCGATCGAAATTTCGCATCGGGGAGATAATAACTTTCATAAATATTAATGCAGAGCGCCTCATGCATTTTTAATACGTAATCACCCATTCTGGCGACGTAAGCGCTTTGACGTGTACCGATATGACCTCACCCAGGGATGGGAAGCTTAACTTTCTAACCTGTTTGTTACTAATATGCGTTGAGAAGATCGGCAATTCGCTCTCCGCCGGAAGCTAGGCAATAACTCCGGCAGATAATTTGATGCCACTCCTTTGTAGGATTGAGTTCCTTAAGCAAGTTCTCCCGGAGCTTGAACGCGTACCGCGACGGAATTGTGAAATAAATTGCCTGTATAAAATATATAGGTCTTTGCGTGGATGCACTTAAGCGCAATCAGTGCGCCTCTATTGCGGCAATTTCGCGCTTATTTTTTTTCACCTCATAATCTCGCCTACCTTTTTCATTTTTCATCCGTGAAACGAAGGAATTATCAGCAATATTATTACATTGGACTTTAATAACGTCTCGCTAGCAGTACAATCTTATTCAGTTCAAAATACCTCAATGATAACTTGACTCTGGTAATTTTTATGTTTAAAACTCACCACGTTTCGACCATGGTTTGTGGTCCTCTTCAAGTGATATTGTATCTAGGACCACATTGCAGTTGGATGTTATTTTACAATTGAATTGAATAAGCTAACAAGGGGTAATTTTTAATGTCGCCAGTAGTAATTAAAAAACTTCAAAGTTTTGAACATAAAAAAACTCACAACGTTTCGACGCATGGTTTGTGCTCCTTGACACAATATCGCTTGAAAACTTCAATGATAACTTGACCATGTCTGGCAATTTTTATGTTGAAAACTCACAACGTTTCGACCATAGTTTGTGGTCCTTGATACAATATTACTTGAAAAAGACCGCAAACCATGGTCGACACGTTGTGAGTTTGGAACACAAAAATTGCCAGACATGTCAAGTTATCATTAAAATTTTTTAAGCACCACCGGCGACATTAAAGATTACCCCTTTTGTTAGCTTATTCAATGCAATTGTAAAATAACATCCAACCGCAATTTGCCTTCCTTAAATACTTTTCGCCGCGATAATGTTTAAACTATCTTAACACCGTGCGCTATAATGCGCTATCTCTTTTATTATTATTCCCTTCGTTGTTCCATTTAACTTTATTCGCGACTCGCATAATATTTGTACAATGGAACACGGATGATTGATTCTCTCGCGTTTTACTCCCTTCGCCGTACCATAAAGATTCTTATTTGAGCATTGCCGGTCTCCATTGGCTCAAATGCGAAACGGCAAATTGTACAAATTTATCAACTTGTTTACAGAGCATACGCCCCAGCGGCTCTGTACAAATTATCTCGTCTTTAATAATCTCGTTTCGAGAGCAGCGCCGCGATGGCGCGAGCGGGGTAACGACGGCAGTTTGTCGCCCCTATAAAAATGCGCTCGCAATCGAGATTGATAGCACGTCGAAAGGAATCGAGATGGCTCGTATTACGGGGCACAAATTTACGGCGACGTACAATTATTCCGCTTTTGCGGAATTGAGCAGTGGTAAAATCGTCCCTTCCCGCCCGTCGCGCCGATACGCGCTCATTAATCGCGAAGGTGCTTATTTCTCAGCGTCGCCCGCCGAATCCATGGCCGTTGGCCTGAATTTACGGGCAAGCTGTCATGCAGCTTTAGTGCTCAATAAATAGCGCGGATCATTTTTCGCGAGTGCCGCGCAAGCGGTGCACGGCGACGGGATTATTTCGCTGCGGATTAATCGATGCGCGTCGATCCGGCGAGATAGCCGTCTCGCAGTCGTTCAAACCCACCCCCCCCCCGTGTGATCGTATCGCGCAATTCGCGTGTTAAAATCAATTTGCAAAAATGCTCGTCGAAACAACGAGGGAAATATTTATGAAGGCATTTTTTTTTCACATCTCGTCACACGGGTTTGGCTTTTAAAACTGCGACGCGCTAAAGAAAGTTTAAAAGTAAGCTCAAAGCTCTTAAGAGCTTTGAAAAAATTTTTTCGTTTCTTCTTTTAGTTGAAGAGAATCCAAGAGAAGCGGACCAAAACGTTTGACACTTTCGGAATTTTTTTACATCCTTGACATCGCAGTTTTTTTTTTATAAATAATGCGCATTTCGGCTTTCATTTATTTCACCTTCTCGTGCTCCGCTCGTAACTTGAGACGAAAAAGGGCCCTTTCCAGTTTACTATTTTAAAGAATGACGTTCTATTTTTGTGGCATTTTTTCGCCGGCAGCGTGTGGTCCGCGCGGCTCGAGCGTCCGCGAGCCGCGCAAACGGCACGCCGCGGGAAACACAGCTGGCAAGCATAATTTACATAGTTTATAATTGACGCGAGGAAAGCCCGCTGCGCAGACATCGCGCGGATGATACGTGATGAAAGGCAGTAGACGTATACCTCGTTTTACAGCCTGCCGGCGTAATGACGGCGTTAACGCATCTTCAAACTCCATTGTCGCATCCGGGAGGGGATTGTCGGCCTGCCTGACGTTAATAATCGTTGACTGTTGCCATTAAACTTGCCGCTTTGAGCGCGATGACGTAAAATGCCGGGTGACGTTACCGGCATCGGCATTATTGCGCGTCGATCGCACCATTCTCCGAAAATTACACGACGGCGTACACGTACGCGCCCGTAAAAGACTCAACTGCCCGGCTCGTGCGTGCATTTGCCCGCGGCTAATAAAAGAGAGTGCGTCCCACGATCCATCATTTCTTCGAATAGTTCACCGGGGACGGTCTTGCGTCGTTCATCGTGGCGTTATTTCACCGCCGAGCATTGCTCGCGCAATCGGTATTTGCGTGATCGACGAGGCGTTCGATTTTGTTACGTCATAAACAAAATTCGAACAATTTCGACGGAGATCTAACATAAATGGGCTTTTATATACTCGCCATTTAATTGAAATTTTCTTTCTAATTAAGGTGGCTCCCGCGCGGCATTTGACAAAGTTACACATTTTCTCTTGAATATCGCAAAAGGTATTAGGCAAATTAAAAAATGTTTCAGACAAAAGTTGTTCCTATTAATTAGTAGAACAAGATAGTATAATAAACAATAGGAGGTTCCATTAAAGAAAATTGAACCGATAGACTTTTAGAGAGTATGTTGTAAGAGCACAAGGCTGAAAAGTTGAAAAGTCAGGATAATACGGTTTCATGCGCTAACGGCGACGTTATTAATTTCAGAAAGCGCGTACGAAGATGAGGAGCAGTTCGCCAGGGGCGACACAACCCCTGGTGAAGACATCGTCGATGAAGAGGACGACGGTCAAGGCGGAGGTGGCACGAATAACTTTCCCTTGAGAATGGCGTCCGACACAACGAGGGGTCGAATCACCGCCGTCGCCGGCGGCTTCCTGCGGGGCACCGGCGGGCAGCACGTGAACTTCGACCCCGAGGCACCTCCACTGACGCCGACACACGTCGTACAGACAACCTGTCTGCTCGAACGGCCGGAAATTGATAAGAAAGTCAAGGTAACGAGAGAGTACGAGGTTGACGTGTATTGTTTCGACGGGGTGTCATCCAGGCAAGAAGGAATTAACCTTTCACCTACGTATTCGCGAAGTTGTCAGAGAGTAGGAGTCAGGATCGCATTACTTCTAATTAAGCTCAGCGTCTAATTAAGCGAAATTAATCTTCGTATACACCAGCATTCTCGTATTTCCTCAAAGAGACGGATCTCCTTGCCGATCGTTAAGCGTCGTGACCTCCTCCACTCGGATCTCCCTTTGATTTATATATTTATTTTCTCCGGTGATTTCGCTTTTTCTCGGTATAATAAATACCAGAGTGGGGTAACAGTTGTACCGCTACCAATTTAAAACGATTCCGACGGTAATGATGTAGCGCGAGGGGAAAAGGTTATCGGGTCGTGGGTTCCGGGGGTTGGAAATAAATCGGGTGCGCCGCGCCGTGGTTTCAGTCCTCGCATAAATTCCCTCCTCGCCGCAGCGGGAAACTACAACTCGGAGTTTGACGAGCGGCGAAAGAAGCGGAAGCGGAAACAGAAAGGGCGGCAGCCGATAACGACGTTCCGATGCCGATCCAATTTGTGCGCGGCTTGAGAATTACAGGAGGGTGAGAGAAAACGAGCGAGCGAGGGAGAGAGAATCTTGCACTGTTCTTTTATCGAGTCGCGGCGGATGTTGGCCGCGCGATAGCGATTTGCTTCTTCTCTCCTTCGATTTTCCGTCGCCCTGTCTGTCGACAGGAAGGAGCGGAGCGTCGCAGCCGGTACCAGTGGGGTCGAGTTAGATTAAACCTTAATGCTGTTTCGATAACCACGTTTAACGCAGACGACGGCGCGATAGACCGGGCGTGATTATTTTTGCATAGGGCCCCGAGGATTGGCAGAGATGTTTAATATCAGCTATCGTATAAACCGAGCTCGCGACTGATCGATGGCGCAGACATTTAGCCATCGAATAAGGCCAAACTCCTCTCGGCCGAATTTCTCTCTCGCTTCGCCGGCGATTGCATTATTTAGCGGCCAGGCGAATCTGCAAATAGCTTCGGTCTTCACGTCGCTTTCTGCGGCGCGATTATGGATAATTAATTATATCATCTCGCAGAGCACGTCGAGAGGGAAGACTCGGGGAAAACGGCCATAAAGGGCATAAGCTTATTCGGATAGGCCGGGAAACGTGTCTCTCGCGGACCCGGCTTTCATTTTCTGGTTAATTGTTAACCAGAAAATGACCAGAGGTCAGCCGACTTTCTGTCTCCTCTCAGATAATAACATGGCAAGGGATGGGGAGTCGACTAACTTCCGCGGTTAACAGTTAAGAAAATGAAAAACTGGCTCTCAGGGAGATACTATGCTCTCCCCGTGTCGCTGCCTGGGTCGAAGGCACTCGCGGTGAGATACGAGGCAGATACACGTGCGCATCTTCGGGCATTCGTGCCGAGTAGCTGGCAGAAGCGTTCGTTTTCATCGTCTCGTGAAACGGCAAGTGGGTTGAATTCTCTAAAAGGATGAGAGCGACGGGTGAACGGTCTCCTCGATCTTTCGACTTTGCGCTCCCAGGATCGGGATCACCGCCCAGGATTGCACTCTCTGTTAACGTTCTACCATCGTAACACGCACTTTGCACACGCCGTGGAACGCGCGGTTAATCTATTTAGGGATGAAAAGCTCGAGAGAGAGAGAGAGAGAGAACGCAAGCGGGTTGCTTTCATCTTTTAGTGCCTCGTAAATGTCCTCGAGTGAGCTCGCGCAGCGAAACCGCTGAATTCTGGTGTGTTACGTGACCGAATTTCGTGCCCACCCTCATCGAGCTTCGAATAACACAACCGTCAATTTTTGATGAAATTAGCATCGGTTAAGAAAAGACGCCCAAAGCCCACTTTCAATTCTTAATTACGGCGCGGCCGCAGTATTTCCGTTCGGGCAATTTTTATCGCGCGACATGCATTATGCATAATCCGTACAGAAGCTCATCCATTAATCGCATCGGTTTTATTCAGTTATAAACGCTTCGATCTTAATGCAGATCGTTCCTGTCTCTCTACCTGAAAAATTTCGCCCGGATTTTGCACTTGCGAAATTTACGCTCACCCTCGCACACACGCGCGCGCGTTCTTCGACAGTTATAGACAATAGGGCCGGCCGACAATAGATCGTTCATTGTGCGGAAGATCGTAGAAATATAATATATCTCCATAGAGTGCGCGCGTATATCACCGATGCCAGCGTGGGCCGTCACGAATGCAAGACGCGAATAGTAGATACAGACAGTTTAGTCAGACGCAGAGGCAGTGGTGGTGGACTGCATGTGGAGACAGGGCATACGGAGACAGTCGGATGCCGGGACAGTAGAAATGCAACCCGAATACAGATAGCGGGGTGTAGTGAGCTAAATAGACGTTAAAGACAGCAAACACAGTCGTGCATAAGATATGCACGAAGTAGGTTGTTAGGGACACGTGTCGTCTGTTTACAATTGCATTAATTAAGCGCGAAGAATAAAACTTGCATTGTTCTCGGGAGTAATACATTATTGAAATAAATTATTTTTACGCCAAACAGCTTCGTTTAAATATAAGGGGGCAAATTATTTATTTTAGCGCATTAAAATGCTTCCTCCAGATGAGGCGTCGGATCGTGAGATATTTCTATAGAATTATCCAACACACAAACTGTTATTTCAGCTCCCGAAACTTCTAAATGAGATTTTTCAAGCGGAATAAACGCACAGGCGGCAGATTGAAAATTTATAGCATCAAATCCTAGAGCCGCGCGTACGTCGAATGATTTCCTAATGACGTAGGATTTATAGGCCACGTTAAGTGCCTGCTTTGCCAAGAGTACGCCACGCTGAGACACGAGATCCTTTCCGCTGTTCCGCGTAACGAAGGCATTGAGGCGAAGCATTTAATCCACGATGGCAGAGTGAAATGCCGCGGTTGGCGAGCGTTCCTGCGTTTTCCCTGCCGGCGGATTTAATCCTGTTTGCAAAACCGTCTCGTCGAAAACAACTTTTCGCTGGGGGGGAAAAAAAAGGATCCAAAGTCCCACGAAACCGGAGCGGGAGGGTTTCGTTTGCGCGCCCCCTCTTTCAGGGGACTCGCATTGTCTTATGAAAACAGGCGTCTCGAAAATAGCGATGAGAGATCTTCTCGTAAAGTGAAAATCAATATCCGAGATTGAGGGCGTCGATACAATTCACGCGGGAGCCGGGATTCGCTCACCTCCGTGTACTCGGAGCCCCCTCTAATATTTTTGTGATAAAATACGGTAAAATCCGAAAGCACTTTAGAGCTTTAAAAGAGATTTGGGAGCTACGAAGGGCTATTTGCCTTTGGCTCAACACTTTTGGGAAACGCGCTTTATTTCAAGAGAACGCGGGGAAGTGGAATCAGTTTCGAAGTAACTTAAAATTTGCGAGAATTATTGTAGTTACAAGATACGTGTGCGAATTTCTGTAACATGCGTGTTGCACAGTTTTTCCAAGCTTCCTAGGAGAGCAAGCGTTTGTGCGCTCGCACTGAGAAAAATGTCCGATTAAATAAACAATCGGATAATCCGATTACATAATAACAAACGGGTATATCCGATTAAATTGTATATCGGCGAAAAGTGTGATTGGTTTTTCAATCAAATTTCATCGATAACTGAATTTCATCGGATGTATCCATAATTTAATCGGAAAAGTTACCCATCGGACGCACCATTCAATTGGTTTACGGGATGAAAGTTTTTCCCAGTGCGGATTTCGCGATCGTAGAAACGCGACGCATAGTTTATTTAACAAAAGGCGAGAGCAGACGCGCGCGGCGGAGACGAAAAGGGAGCTGTGTATTCTAACACGACGCACTCGAGATACTGGAATATAATATTGCGAAGGCCGACACTGACAACGAGTGTTTGCCGAGGGCGCACCTTAATTGTCGAACCGGCGCGCCCTCGACAAACACCGTCTATCATACACATGCCTTTACGGCCCGCTAAGGCCCGCGCGACCCTTTTTCGCCCTTAACGGCCACGCGTTCGTCTCCTAAAAGTGGATGCCGATCAAGGCTGTAGCGCCCCGCCGATCGCGCCGACGTAGGCCCTTGGGTCAAGATTTGCGTACGAGCTACGCTCGCTCGCTCGCGCGCGTGTCCGCGATACGTCGCGCGCGTGTCCGACGTTTATGGATCGGGTCTCGAACAACATAATGCAGAGACGCTATCTCGCCCGCGCGACAGATATCGCGACGGATGAATTTGTTGCGAGGGGAAATTCGCGTACGTATCGGCGGACGCCGCGTTTCAATAACTTTCGATAATCGATGGTAAAGCAGCTAATTCACGGCCCGATATCCGCCTCGGTGCATCTCTGTTTATGACAATGTAAAATTGATTGCGCATCGAATGGTACAAATGGTGCAAACGGCGCGGCCGGGCGGCAATTAAAATGCGCCGCTAACAATAAGCACATTTTATATTTATGCCCTTTGTACGAAACGCGGATCCGAACGCGGAATTTGCACGCGTCAACGGTGAAACGTAACTTGTACGGTCGGCGGGTAATTCGATTTATGTTTTCGCGATGAAGTTTCAGGGCGTCCCCGCTAGTAATTTCAATATTAACCCGTAGCCTGTCCCAAAATATTTCTCGCACCCGGTAATTTAATAGCGCGACAGATTGATGCTAACGAATTGAATCTTCGGTTGCGAGTCGATAATGAGAGCGGGTAATGCGTTTAATTTCAGCATAATTTCGAACTTATATTAACAAAGTATTAATCTAATCAATGATACGTAATTTTTTAATGACCTGGCCAATATTTCTATTTGAAAAAAAAAATGACGTCTCAGTCCCAGACTTGGACCCTTTTCAAGTAATCTATTCACACAATTAGTCAAAACGTAGTTCAATCTGATCTCACGCCCAATACACATCTCTTGATGCTTTTACCCGTGTTTAACAATTAACGATGCAACTTCAATTGACTTTGCTCACTCTTCAACCAAAGAGTGCAATCATTTTTTGACTGATATCTTACTAACATAGCGATATTGGCCGAACGAACGATATGAGATCACGAACAATTGTGCACTGAGAAAAATGTCCGATTAAATATAATAACAAACGGATATATCCAATTCAATTGTATATCCGATGAAAAATATGATCGGTTTGCCAACCAAATTTCATCAGTAATTGCATTTCATCGGATTAAAGTCAAATCAAGATATTAAAACTATTTGTGAGTTATTAACCTAACGTTTAATTTATCATGCCTGATATTAAAAAGTAAAGCCAAGAAAAGTAGTGAAGGCTCCAAAAAGGAAGAATCGATGAGGCCGACGTGAACCAACAAACGCGGAACACAGTGCGTGGTTTAAAACGTGGAAAATATATTCTTTTGTCCCAACATTTCTACCCACCTTCCGGTCTTCTTCAGTAATCTGATACAACAACTAAAATTACAATAAATTTGTTAAGGAATTATTTAAAAAAAACATTAAATGCAGTAGAGTACACGGGGAGGGGAAATTGAATTAAGCAAAATGAAGTTGCTGGAATTAAACGTTAACGTCACGGGCTGCCACAAACATAAATCAATGGCTACGTTCGGCAGAAAAAGCTGCTTTGCAACTGTTGTAAAATTTATGAATCTGATTGGCGTATGCTCTTAAATTCACACAAGATTGAGATAACACACCAATCAGATTCACGAATTTTACAACAGTTGCAAAGCAGTTTTTCCTGCCGAACGCAGCCATTCACTCAATTGTATTTGCTATGGATTTTCATTTTTAAGCATTGAACTAAATATCCAGATTATTAAGACAATAATCTGATGCTTTTCATTTATTAATACCGATGTTGTTTCAACGATATTATTTCAGACTCGAAAGAAAATTAGAATACCCGATAAAGATGAGAGTATTATAGCGAGCGTGAAACTGAAATCGCGGAATCAACGTAACTGCCACGATGAAATTAAATCCTCTCTCAAGATAGACGCGTGAATCTCTAAAGAAAGAAGAAGATTGCAAGAAGGGATCGCAGTTAGGTCTTCAATTATGATAACTGGGTAATTAATGAAAGTCCGGAGGGCCCGTAGATGAAAGAGAAGGACCGATCGCGATGCGAGGCACGCACCGCGCGGGATACAATGTTACGTACATTCCGCGGGCGCAGTTGTGAGGGACCACAATTGATCCTCGGACCCGGGAGGGCGCATTTCACCTCGTTAGCTACTCTTGCACACGAGAGCGCATACGCTCGCTCCAGATTCGGTATGCAACTTCCGCGTGAGCGCCGCGCAAAATCACGTAGCGAGTGTTGGATCGTGCATGACCGCTACAACGACGGCGGGAAACGAGGCTGGGTGTCGCTAAACCGGCAAAATGTGTGTAACTTAACGCGCGTTTGGGTCCGAGCGGCGCGACAATGGCGCGATGCATTGTAAAACAAAGCGAAAACATTTAGCGACACGGGCGCACTGCTGAAGAAACACCGGAAGTAGACGTAACACCGAGGAAATACGACCGACTTCGCGCGTAGGTGGTAGCTGCGGAAATTACGTTTTTAGAAACGCAGTTTGTCTTCCAGAAGAACTTTCTTCCGTGCAAAATTTGCATTAAACAATACGCCGGAACGCGCTGTTAATATATCCTCGCGAGAGAAACGCTTATTAACTTCCGGGTTGAAGCGTTCGTGAGTTAGCAGCTAATACAAGGTACGTTTAAATGTATACGTGTGAGATAAAATAATTGCGCTTATAGAGGCACAGCATACACGGCATGATGGAGGAAGAAAACGTCGTGAGACCTCATCAGGAAATGGCCAGCCTGTCGCTGCAGGAGAAGAAGTATCTTCTCGCCGTCGAGCGCGGAGACGTGGCTTCCGTTAGAAGGTCAGTGAAAATTTATGGTTAAAAATTTATGGACACCGCCTGGCTGTCTTATTGGCGCGGGTGAAATACAGGGCGAAAAGGGAACAAATAAATTTCGCGTTTAATCAGACGTACTTTATTTTCTACGCTAATCTCGTTCAACGTCGATGAATACCGGCCGCGAAACTTTTATAACGTAAAATCCAGGGAGATATACTGTCTTTTGACAGCCCGGGAATATTGCGCGTGGATATTAAGAGAGGAAAGAGGAGAGAAAGAGGCGAGGAGGAGACGGGAATTCTCTTTACAGATATAAAATATTTATTTAAGCGGAGAAACAGCGTATTTATATGTGAATATATACGCGAGGGGATCATCTTGTTTGCATTCACACACGTGCTACCTTAACTAGTGTGCGCGTGTATCCTTACGAGCCCCCCCCCCCATCTCTCTATCTTTTTATTCCGTCGCGAGTTAAGGGG